GCAGTGTTTCCGGACAGCGTCGTACAAGGGCATTTACTATCTTCGGCTAGTATTTTTACTGCTGAATTATATGCCATCCTTACAGCACTTATCCGTATCACATCTATGCCTGTGTCATCATTTGTGGTTGTCTCAGACTCCCTTAGTGCTTTACAGGCTATACAAAAATTTGATACACCTCACCCCTTAGTCCTCCGTATCCAACTTTGGCTACGCCGCATCTTTACCAAGCATAAAGATATTGTTTTTTGTTGGGTCCCTGGTCATGTTGACGTACAGGGCAATGAACAGGCTGACACTGCTGCGCGGTCAGCAGTACATGACCTACCAGATTCTTATAGAGGTATTCCATGTACGGACTATTTTGCTGTAATATCTTCCCACCTTCACACCCGTTGGCAACAACGTTGGTCTACTATGCTCGGCAACAAACTTCAGTCTATTAAACCGAGTATAGGTTACTGGCCGTCTTCTTATCACCAGTGTCGAGGTTGGGAGACTACTCTCTCCCGTCTTCGCATTGGCCATACTCGTCTTACTCATGGATATCTCATGGAGAGGCGTCTTGCTCCTCTCTGTGAGAATTGCCAAGCTCCATTATCAGTCAGCCACATTCTGTTGGACTGCCCACTTTATCAACGAGCACGCAGAATTTACCTCTGTCGTCGTCTTCGCCCCGCTGCTCTCTCTTTACCTTCCCTTCTCGCTGATGGACCCACCTTTCATCCGGACTCTCGTTGACTTTTTGACAACGACTGACTTACTTCACAAATTCTGATACTTTCAGCCCTTTCTACTTCAATCTCTTGCTACCCTCTACCCCCGTACTATCCCCTACCCCGCTGTTTTCTGTAACCTGCTGATCATCCCCCCTCCCTTCTGCCATCCAATTCCCTTGCTTCCTTCCCTACCCTGCAGCGCTGTATAGCCTTTGTGGCTTAGCGCTTCTTTTTTGATTATAATAATAATAATAATACAATTAACTGAGCAATTCAGTTATTTTTATCATATTCTGCAAGCTTGTCATGAGAGAGTTTAATGGGGTTTGCCGGTCTTCATGAACAATGTAAATAATGCAGTGGTAACTGCCAATGTTTAAAATATTGGTTCATTGGTCCATTATTTCCAATAATATTGGAATAAAAGCTGTGTATTACAACACATTGTTTATGTTATACGCTCCATGATATTAAAACAAACTATAGTGGAGCCTTGGTATGCATCCTTAATTCATTCCAGAAGGCTGTCTGAGTGCTGCTCCGTTTGAGTATCTAATGAGTTCTTCCCAACCAATTTTCTGTTTGGTTGGCTGTTATCACTAATCTTTGTAGGCCCCCATGGTGACTTATTTATACAAATAATACAAAAAAACACCAAAAAATGCGAACACAAAATAGTTTACAGCTAAGTTCTGGCAGGTTGTATTTGTTTGGTCGAGTGCTGAGCTTAGTTCGAGTAGGGAGCTGGTTGTATACTGAGATTCCATTGTAGTTCTTTTAAAACCTCTCATGTTGTGCTTCTAAGGGTTAGTGAACAGTAATTTGATGTCGTGCAGCTTTGTTTCCTTTCATAAATAATACAGTTACCAGATCTCTGTATCCATTCCCTCATAAAATTAATTATTTTATACACCTACTATCCGACTTATGACCTGCTCGACATATGACCACTCGACTTACGACCACATTTTTTATGCCAAATTTCTAGGAAATAAACAACTGTTTGTGTTGAACACAGTGTTTATCCTAAACCTTACGGTATAAAATACAGTACTAACAACATAAAAAGTAAAGGAAAAAATGAAATACCAAAATAAAACAATAAAATAAAATCATTACAAAAGTGTGATGTTGATATTCAGTAGTAAAGTTCGACTTACATCCATTTTGACTTACGACCGGTTGGTTGGAACCAAGCTTGGTCGTAAGTCGGATGGTACCTGTAACATACACAGTGAATGTATCGAGGATTTAAAACACGTATAGTAGAGCTCTATTTAAAATATGTTTTGGTATACAGTGTAACATTTCTGATGTCTGCTGACATACACGCACTCGTCTGCACTTGATACAGTTGAGAGAATTAACCCTTTGACTGTTTTCGACGTATAAATATGTCTTACGAGCCAATGTTTCTGACGTATATATACTCAATAATTCTAGCGGCTTCAAATCAAGCGGGAGAAAGCTGGTAGGCCCACATGTGAGAGAATAGGTCTGTGTGGTCAGTGTGCACCACATAAGAAAAATCCTGCAGCACACATTGCGCAATGAGAAAAAAAAACTCTGATCGTTTTTTTGGAATAAAACACTGACTTTGAGGTGTATTTTCGTACAGTATTTATCGTTGTATTCGCGTTTTCATGGTCTTAGGTGATAAAATGGAAAACATATTACAGAAATAGAGATGATTTTCATTACTTTGACGATGAAAACGACCTTGAAACTGAGCTCAAAGTAGCGGAAATGTTCGATTTTTACCAATGTTCAGGAGTAAATAAATCACACCACACGTCCAATACACGTCAACTGGGGAGTCTAATATTCTTTCACTAGTGCACTGATATTATTTATACCATTTTTACAATAATGCAGTAGTCTGCATAACAGTAAATTTTGTATTTTTTGTATGAATAAAAAATCAAAATAGAAAGCAATAATAATATAAGAGGGGCCTAGAGATGTGACTAATGAACAGAGCATATGTTATTTTAGTGCCACGAATGTCTACCTTGTTTATTCTGGACCCTATTTTGAAATTGGCATCTTTTTTAGTTTGCATGAAATTGGCCAAATTGCCAATTTCTGACCACCATATTGGGTAGTCCAAATTAGTAAATGGGAGGTTTCTTGTACTCAGCTGATAGATAAAATGGAGTTCTAAGGAAATAGCTATGAGTTTGGTCAACTGGAACAATGGAATTGGCTGAAAATAGGGCTCAAAGTCGGCGAAATCGCCGATACGCATATGTCGCCGAGACCGCTAACTTCGCGGGAGCATAATTCCATGAGTTTTCGACCAAATTTCGAACTTTTGGTGTCATTACCATCGGGAAAAGTTTCTCTATCATTTCATAAGAAAAACATTTTTTTTTTTTTTTTTCAAAAATTGAGCGACATAGAATGACAGTTTCAGAAAGGGGCCTGAAACAGTCAAAGGGTTAAGCAGAATTCAGATGTATTGTTAATTATCATTGTTTCAGAATGAAGGGGTCAGTATTTACATGCACTTGAGTTGATAGTCTTTTTCCAGCTCAAATTCCTTCACCTTAGAGTAACCATCAAGCCCCCTTCCCACTAGAGAAGTGATATAAAACATTGTAATCTCCTTTCACCTATCCTTTGGTCCTGCTACTCTGTCTGGTTTATCTGTAAACTTATTCACACTTAAAATCAGAGGCGTCGTAAGGGGGGGGCGGACCGCCCCGGGTGACACCATTTAGGGGGTGACACCACAGAGCCTCTAAAGAAGGTGACACTAATGCACCAAACAGTGCTGCACTAACATAAGAGAAGACTCCTTCGTTTCTATATAGCCTATTATATATTAACAAAGTACAAATAAGCCTATATAGGGAAAATCATTGATTTTGATGATGTGATAGATGATTTTGCATAATTGAAGGCAAGGAAATGTAAGATCAGATTCACTGAGATGTTACCTGTACTCAAGGTCGAATGTAAGATCAGATTCACTGAGATGTTACCTGTACTCAAGGTCAAATCAGAACTAGTGTTTCTCTGATACTGCAATGTTTTTCTTTATTTTTCAAGTTTTTTTTTTTTTTTGCATTGTTGAAGTTGAATAAATGTAGGATCTGTTGCCTGTACTCAAAGTGGTATTTGAGTTTATGTTTCCTCAATATTCTCCTGTTTGGTTTATGGCCCTTAAATGTTCTCATTGCTAAACATTAGTCACTCACTGGTCATGCAGTAATGACATAATTGGAGTTTAGCCCCCCTCCTATCATCCTTGAATTTCATGGGGGTGACACCAAAGATGCTGCCCCGGGTGACACCAACTCTAGTGACGCCTCTGCTTAAAATCTGAACATTAATGTAGAAGATTTGATAACACATTGTGCAGTATATGGTCCCTGGCAGACAAAAAGAAACCTGATTCTTCTTAAGTTTGGTATGCATATTATCAGTATATATATTACCACCATTTTATAACAGAGAATTTGATCATAGTAAAATTTAAGCCTCATTATTTTCTTGAGTAAACTTTCTAATGAACAATATATCAAATGAAGAATGAGACACTTTTGCAACATTTGGGAATTTTTATTAAGGAATAAAGATTCCCAAATGTTGCATAAGTATCTCAATATCCAACTTGTCTTTTTTTTTTTTTAACCGTTTTTGTCACAATTTATCAAATAAATCAGCTACAGTATATCAGTTACCTAACTACACAAGTTATTTGTTTATTTTGCATTCTCACATTCATTTCTTTTTTTCAACACACCGGCCGTATCCCACCGAGGCAGGGTGGCCCAAAAGGAAAAACAAAAGTTTCTCCTTTTACATTTAGTAATATATACAGGAGAAGGGGTTACTAGCCCCTTGCTCCTGGCATTTTAGTCACCTCTTACAACACGCATGGCTTACGGAGGAAGAATTCTGTTCCACTTCCACATAGAGGTAAGAGGAAATAAACAAGAACAAGAACTAGTAAGAAAATAGAAGAAAACCCAGAGGGGTGTGTATATATATGCTTGTACATGTATGTGTAGTGTGACCTAAGTTTCAGTAGAAGTAGCAAGACATAACTGAAACCTTGCATGTTTATGAGACAGAAAAATGGACACCAGCAATCCTACCATCATGTAAAACAATTACAGGCTTTCGTTTTACACTCACTTGGCAGGATGGTAGTACCTCCCTGGGTGGTTGCTGTCTACCAACCTACTACCTAGATCTCACATTCATGTACACTAAAAATCATTTATTGTTTTTGAATTGATTGTAAAGATTGTAACATTTTTACCCTAACAGGTTGCTCAGTTCCCTCCATACCTGTATGAACATCTTGTTGAGCAGGAAAATAAAGGAATTATTCTTATCTTAAACAAGTGTGACCTTCTGCCGCCAGCTGTAATTGTGGCTTGGGAAGAGTACTTCCATAACAAGTTTCCAAGGTTGCTTATTGTTCCATTCTCATCAGTGGAGGGCTATGCTTTCAGGAAAGGAACACTGAAAATATCTGCTGAAGGCTCTCTGAGGCTTGTTGATGCTTGCCAGAAGTTGGTTGAAGACTCAGGTTTGTTTTATTAGTATACACTTGATATACAGGGTGCTAATTTTTGATGGGATAGACCAGTAAGCCAACAGGCCAAGCTTCACTCAGTTTTCATATGACTTAGACCCACATCAGGAAAGATGTTTCTCCTGGTAAAAATATTAGCCCTCCACCCCCAAACTACTTTAGTAATATCTATTCCTGTGTACAGTATCATAAAAGAAATTTTATTTATAACTGGAGAGATTTTGTACACTGTATAGTTAATGGTATTCCACAGTTGATCTCAATCCTTGGAGAAGGAAGATAGAAGAGGAGAAGGAAATGGAGAGTGAGGTCAGCCAAGAGTGTAAAGCTACAGAAGGCATGACAGTGATGCCTCAAAGTACCAGTCCCGAAGTTCATCAACGTTTCAAGGATGGCGTTCTTACCATAGGAACAATTGGTCATCCTAATGTTGGAAAATCCTCACTTATTAATGCACTCATGGGAAAAAAGGTGTTTCTTTTTCTTTTTAAGTAATTGTGTATGGAAAGTTCAAGAATACTGGCAAATTTATAGTTGTGTCAGATCAGACTGTTCCCTTCGAAGTTTCTTCTACCCTACCTTATAAGTTATTCAATATTTACATATATTCTCTCTCACTGTCTTGTTATCTTTGAATGCTTTCTTTGCATGCATCAGAAATACACAGGAAAAGGAGGTGTCACAGAGCAGCAATGTCTGATGGCTTTCAGACATTTTGGTTTATTGACATGCATAATTTTGTTGAGATGCATAATTTGTTAAATGTTTAGGTTATATTATTTTTGTTTCATGAATGTTTTCGGTAGTAAGAGTTGCAGATTATTCATGAATCTACTGTAAAATGCATTTATGAAGATAATAAATAAAAGAAAATGGCTGACTAATTGAACATAAAAAAATTTGTTTGAGAGTTAGGAGTCATGTTGGAGAAATCTGTAATGTGTAAAGAAACTATGGTTGATCAGGTTGTACTGATTGCATGTGTGTTGGTAGGAGAGCTGAACTGCCCCGCCCTAATGGAATATACTTCTTTTTTAGGTAGTGAGTGTGAGCAAAACTCCAGGCCACACCAAACACTTTCAGACCATTTTCCTTACAAAAAATGTCAAGTTGTGTGACTGTCCTGGTTTGGTGTTCCCATCCACAATCTCATTACCGCTGCAGGTGAGTCACTTCTCTCTCCTTTATGCCTTAATTTTTAAATAATGTCATAAACTTATAATGCAGTCACTAATACAGTGGTCCCTCGTTTTTCGTAATTAATCCGTTCCTGGAGGAGCTACTATAAACGAAATTTACGATTTGCGAATCAATTTTCCCCATAAGAAATAATGTAAATACAATTAATCCGTTCCTGACACCCAGAAGTATTAAAGCAAAAAATTTTTTTACATGAAATATACATGTAGTACATAAACAATACAATGGGAAATGATGAATGAAACATTAACAGCATAACACTTACCTTTATTGGAGATTCTTATTAGTGTATGGGAGACTGGAGGAGGAGAGAGATTGGATTGTTTACAGTTTGGAAGGGAAATCCCCTTCCAGCAACACCTCAGGTACCAATTGCTTCTCTGGGGCTGCTTCTCTTCTCTGTTTCTTAATGCCACTAGGACCACCTTGAGAGTCACTCTAGTCCTGTCTCGCAAAGTAACTGTGGAGAGAGCTCTGTTTCTGGCGTCTCTTTAACACTTCCCTAAAATGGCCCAAGACTTTGTCACTGTACATATTTCTCACCTTCTTTACCACAGGCTTGGCACTAGGAGCTTTCTTTGGAGCCATGGTAGCTTATTTAGTACTTGCAAGCGCTAAAATGAGTGGAATATTATGAAATATTTCGTAGGAGCACTTGAGGGGACCTTCACTCACTGGTAAACAATGCCAGACTGGCTGGGTAGGGAGGCCTCCCCGGCTCACATCGTACATACGCGTCCCGGACGAACTACTATTTGCGAGTCAACCTATGAAAAGCGAGTCCATGTTTATACGAAAATACCCCTATGATTGGCGAAATTTACGATTGCCGAGAACTACGAAAAGCGAGGGACCACTGTAATTTGTTTTAACAACTCAGAATTCAATGAAAATATTAGACTTCAGTGGTGATGACTTTCTAAGAATGTTCAAAAAAGCTAATTTGACTCATAAATAAGTCTACTTAGATCATTTTTTTTTAGGGGGGGACATGTATATTTCATCATTAATGACTGAAAATACACAGTAATTTACATCCTCAATTAAACTTATTAATGGTAATTGGTCTATCTAGATATATTTTTCCATTCTGTTTGTATTTTCTTCATGCCCTTTAATGTACCATAGTACAGTAATAATAATTTGCCTTCTACCGTGTTATCTCTGTGTCCAGTCATAAAATTTTATCTTAATCCACTCATCTATCCAACACCTTGTCTTCCTCTGCCATTATACATCATCTGTTACTCTCACTTCCTCATTTTACTTTTTAGCACTTCATACAATTAATGAGGCATTATTGCTTATTCCAAAATCCTCTTTAGACTAATGATTGTAGATGTGTTAGATTTTATCTGCTTCTCTTCATGTCTTGCAGGCCTTGTCAGGGCCAGTTTCTTGGCCCCAACTCCTTACTGAGGTAACCACAAAAATGATTCACTGCAGGAGGCCATAATTGACCTCAGCTTGCATTTATTGTTGATTGGGCACTTCAATTCATGATACTTTCATGTGCATAAGTGCATTTTTTTTTCAACAAACCAGCCGTATCCCACCATGGCAGGGTGGCCCAAAAGAAAAACTAAAGTTTCTCTTTTTAAATTTAGTAATTTATACAGGAGAAGGGGTTACTAGCCCCTTGCTCCCGGCATTTGAGTCGACTCTTACAACATGCATAGCTTACAGAGGAAGAATTCTGTTCCACTTCCCCATGGAGATAAGAGGAAATAAACAAGGACAAGAACTAGTAAGAAAATAGAAGAAAGCCCAGAGGGGTGTGTATATATATGCTTGTACATGCATGTGCAGTGCAGGCTTTCATTTTACACTCAGCAGGACGGTAGTACCTCCCTGGGCGGTTGCTGTCTACCAACCTTCTACCTCTAATAAGTGCATCTGCAATATTAAATTTACTCTATATTGCTCCCCTCAAGAGAGGTTCCTCGATGCTGGTGAGGGGCTCTTGATCTAGGGAATTTGATCTGTGCTCAGGTTCCCTGAATTGAGCCTGAGTACCTTTCATCCCCCCCCCCCCACAGGCACTGTATAATCTACAGGTTTAGCGCTCCCCCATGATTATAATAATATGCCATATTGCTAGCATTTTATAAACACGCACTGAGTAAGGCGACCTGAGTGAGGGGAAGGAGCTGTACCTCTCCACACTTGACTCTTAAGCCTAGTATGGGTCAGTGAAAAATCCTTGGCACGGACTTCCAGGATTTTGCACACAACTTGATGTTTCCATGCTTATAGAGTTCACCATGAAGGCTTTTACAAGTAATATAAAAAAACAGAAGTACTACTTCAATGGCATTTAGATCAAATGGCTTTATTAAGTGTTGCTTTATAAGAGGGTTTGCTGCATCTCATTTCATGCCATTTCATTCAGTGACATTTCTTCTATGAACTTAATTACCTCTGGCCTCTCTTTTCATTGTCCATGGTTTGTGCACTACTGATCTCAGTTGTTTAAATACCTATGCCCTTTTCATTACTGCACTGTACTTTATTACACATTTTGATATGGCACCTCCTCCACATCCATGTAATTCTTGGTACCACTCAATTTGTTTCTTTTGATCAGGTGATGCAAGGTAGCTATCCCATATCTCAAGTTCGTGATCCAATAAACGTTGTTCACTATATTTCCTCAAGACTTGATATTCCTAGGCTGCTCAAGCTATCTAATATGGAACTTCAGGACTCCAGATGGACAGCATACTATATATGTGAAGGTAATTTGATTACTTATTATCCATGAATTACAAGCCTTAAAATATTTGTAGGACTAATTACAATATAATAATTCTTTTTACTTATTCATGAATTACAAGCCTTCAAATATCTAAAGGACAGTAATTACAGTATAATTATTCTTTTCTCATAAATGATTGTATTTTTTTTTAAATGAAAATATACTCTTAATACAGTAAGGCATCACAGATCTGGACTGGTCAGAGCTGAGGTTTTTCGTAATTTATGAGTTTTCCAGTTGTTTGAAGCTCTAAATCAGCATGTGCATATACACACATGCACAGTATAAACATACCTTACAATTGGGCCATGCAAGCAGACAACTGCTATAGTAAAAGGAGTTGTAATAATGTTTGTGATAGACCTTTCCTGTTTCCAGAAATAGTTTTTATGCACTGCTTGGCTCCACTCAAAATTTAGGATAAGAATCAATGTATATGCCCAATATGCCTGTGAAGGGAAACAGATTTTACAAAATCATAAATATACAATACATAAGTCTGAATTACAAATGCTTAATGTGGGTTTTGAAATAAGCAGTTAACTTTATTTTGTAATTTCCTTGCATTCAGACTTTTTTTTTTTTTTTTTTTTTTAACAAGTCGACCGTCTCCCACCAAGGCAGGGTGACCCAAAAAGAAAATACTTTCATCATCATTCAACACTTTCACCTCACTCACACATAATCACTGTTTTTGCAGAGGTGCTCAGAACACAACAGTTTAGAAGCATATACGTATAAAGATACATAACATATCCCTCCAAACCGCTAATATCCCGAACCCCTCCTTTAGAGTGCAGGCATTGTACTTCCCATTTCCAGGACTCAAGTCCGGCTATATAAAAATAACCGGTTTCCCTGAATCCCTTCAGTAAATATTACCCAGCTCACACTCCAACAGATCGTCAGGTCCCAAATACCATTCATCTCCATTCACTCCTATCGAACAAACGTGTAAAAAAGTCTGAATGCAAGGAAATTACAAAATAAAGTTAACTGCTTATTGCAAAACCCACATTAAGCATTTGTAATTCAAAAGCTAATATTTATTCACATCAAACCAAAGTTTGTTTCTAAAATTGTACATGCAAAATCCTCCAAGAACATAATCTCTGTAACTACGGAGAATTTAGTGTACTCTTTACTATTTATTGCTGCAACAAAGTTCCTTGTATGATATATTAATATTTATACAATTTTAACAGCTTGGGCTATAAAACGGGGATATCACACTCGTGTTCGAGGTGGGCTAGATGTCTCAAGAGCAGCCAATGAATTGCTTCGAATGTGTCACAATGGCCAGAAGTCTCTCGTACTGTATTTCAGGCCCCCAGGCTACTGTCAGACTAAAGGTAATTGAAGTCAGGTGTACTCATAACACGTGAATTTGAATTTCAAGGCAAGACGAGTACAAGTACAAGAGCCACACTGAATGTGTAATGTTCCTAGGAGTCACACTGTTGAGAGAAAATAATCGAGGGGGTGTCAGATAGTACAGTAGGTGTATAATATTGATGCATATTTAATTTTAACTCTTTCTCTTGTATAAATTACTAAATTTTAAAAGAGAAACTTTGGTTTTTCTGTTTTTTAGGTCACCCTGCCTCAGTGGGATACAGCCACTTTGTTGATTTTTTTTTTTTAAATTTTCTGGGAATTATGCTCAAGATGATGATCTTCATATATAGCTTCTTTCCCTTCCTCTAGAACATCATTTTTACATTTCCTTTTTGAGGCCTTTCTCTTGTGTAATTTTTCGCTATCCCTTACAAAATATTAGTTTTATCACTTCTCATATTTACTCTACTCCTTTGAACTCCTTGCAGAATAATTACCCATAGACATCAGTCATCTTACAGCATTTCTTAATTCTGTTTTCAAATCAGCAGGATAATTTTTAATTCTTTGTATAATCTTAATATCAGTGCATTTACCTCTTGTCTACTTTTGAATAAATATTTAATATTGCCCCTTGGTCCATTCCAGTTTCACCCATCAGTTAGGCTTTTAAAATATGAATTTCAAAAGATTCTGCCTATCCCATCTCCTTGTTTCACTGTTGTAGGTCTGTGTAAAGGTGTTTTAGATCTGTTTGTGCATCCATGATTACCTTTTTGCTTTTCATTATCCTTCCTAGGGAGCCAATCACTTTTTTTTTTTTTCATCTTTCTTAAATGTACATTGGGTACCATGTACATTGTACTTCTAGGGTACAGTCACTTAGTTGCAATATTCCCTTCAGCTCTGGTTTTTATTTGCAGTTTTTATGGTGTCATCTAGATAATACATAATCATCAGCTAGATTGGTAAAAACATGCTATTCACTCGTTCCCAGTTTTTAACACACCATCTGTTACCCATCAAGGTAGGGTGACAAGAAAAAGAGAACACTCTCATTCATTTTTCCACACATTAAACAATTGTTTCCCCGATTGGATTGTGTAGTGTTAAATTTGGCTTTAATCTTACATTTTTATAAAAAATTGTGATGCTGTAACATTGTTCTTATTATTCTGTATTTAATCCTTGTGAGTCTTGAAATATTTACAAAGTTATTTTTTACCTGTTTCAGAAAAATTTGAATCCCATCCTCGGGTAGAAGATATAAAACTCATCCAAGGAATTCATGCCCAAACTATGGAACCAGTGCCTCATGAAACAAAACTGGATGAGGAAGTGGAGGATGAGGAAGATATAGTAGAAGACATGGAGAAAACAGAAAGTGAAGAGGAAGAGGAGTGCGAGTCTGAAAGTGAAGAGATGAACAGGACCAGTGTAGTTAACAAATTTGCCGTACTAGGTGAAGATGATTAAAAATGTTCAGATAAAGTTCTTGTTTTTAATATACCCTGTTAACTTTAATATTATGCAATTTTCACAAGTTTTGAGAATGTGATTAGCTTCACGATGTCAGATCAAATCGCACTTTGCTAGTGTGCAAAGTATCACAGCATTTGTAATTGCTGTTCACCATTTACATACACCTCCACTCTTTCTAAAAGTAAATTATAATTTACAGTGCAAAATTATTATTATTATTATTGTTATTATATTCAAAACTAAGTGCTAAATTCACAAGGGTCATACATATAGTGCCATAATTTCTTGGACGAAAAGCATGAAACCTGGTTCAGATTTTTATCTTTAAAATTCTGTAATTTTACTATGCCCCTTCTTAAGACGTGCCATGATGTTGAAGGGCTTTTGGCCCAATGAAATGGAGCTATTCTTTCAAATACATATAAAAGCCTGAAAACACATATACACTCATAAATTAAGTGAGCAATAGAGCTAGGCCTAAACAATGCATATACAATACACATACTACTGATAATATTTTTGTCCTTAGCTTATAGTGAGTGATGAATATATTTACTGTAGGAAGTCTAAATGAACAATGAGTTTAACTGAAAACTGTTGTATTAGTGAAATGCTGTAAAGAGGGGGCCTGCATGACCCTTGTCGGTTTAGTACTTTGATAATAATAATAAAGTGGGGCCCACCAGTATTCCTAGTACTATACACTCACATTGTTTTAGTAATAGGACTATTCTCTCTGCTAAGTGTTTCCCATCCAGTTTTGCAATTTCCTTATTATGTAACATGTATCCTTGCATAGTAAATGCAATTTTTTGTTTTTAATCAATGTTTGGTTAATGACAACACCAAAGAGAATGTGATGCCACCATAAATGCTTGATTATTATTATAATAAAAAAGAAGCGCTAAGCCACAAGGGCTATACAGCGCTGCAGGGCAGGAAGGAACCGAGGGCATCAGGTGGCAAAAGGGAGATGGATGAGTAATAGGTTACGGATAACAGCGGGGAAGTGGATGGTGAAAGGGTAAGGACAGCAAGAGACTGAGCTAGAAAGGGCTGAGGGGAGTGCGTAAGGTATCATCAGAGTTTGTGGAGTAAATCAGTCGTTGTCAAGAAGTCAATGAGAGAGTCAGGATTAAAGGAGGGTCCATCAGCAAGAGGGAAGTAAAGAGAAAAGTAGTAGAAACGAAGACTGCGTTGGAGGTAAATTTTTCGTGCTCGTTGATAGAGAGGGCAGTCTAACAGAATGGGCTAATCGATACTGGAAACTTGACACTGCTCACAGAGGTACAGGGTCCTCTCCATGAGATACCCGTGAGTAGACGAGTGTGGCCAATGCGAAGACGGGAGAGAGTGGTCTCCCAACCACGGCACTGATGACAAGAAGACGGCCAGTGACCTATGCTGGGTTTAATAGAATGAAGTTTGTTCCCAAGCAGAGCTGACCAACGTTGTTGCCAACGGGCGTGAAGGTGGGTAGTATTGCAGCAAAATAGTCCAGAAATGAAACACCTCTATAGGAAATTGGTAGGTCATGTACTGCTGACCGCGCAGCAGTGTCTGCCTGTTCATTGCCCTGTACGTCGACAAAAACCAGGACCCAACAAAAAATAATACTTTATGCTTCGTAGAGATATGGCGTAGCCAAATTTGAATACGGAGAACTAGGGGGGTGAGATGTATCAAAATTTTTCGTATAGCCTGTAAGCACAAAGGGGAGTCTGAGACTACCACAAATGATGACACAGGCATAGTTTGCGATACGAATAAGTGCTGCAAGAAGGCATACAATTCAGCAGTAAAAATGCTAGCTGAAGATAGTAAATGCCCCCGCATGATGCTGTCCGGAAACACTCCCTGTGAATCCGACGCCGTCTAAAGACTTAGAGCCATCTGTGTACACAGCGGTGGCATGAGAATGGGAGTGGAAGTGATAAAGAAAAGAGAGGGGGAAGCCACCGTAGGCAGTTTGATTTTCCCAAGCAAGGGAGTGAGAAAAAAACAGACCCAACAGCTGGAACTTCCCAGGGGGTAGGGAAAAGTGAGATGCTACATGAACATATAAAGGTGTAAAGAAGGGAAGAAAAGAGTGAATGTAGGCGAAGAGAAAAGGGACGGAGCAAACGGGCGGCGAACGAATAATGTCTACTAATATCGGTGACCATTCTATAAATGGAAGGATTGTGAAGATCGTGAGAGTGTACATAGTAGCGAAGGCAATGGGCATCACGGCGATCAGACAAGGATGGAACATTCGCTTCTGCAATAGAGGCTCTCGACAGGGAAGAGCGAAAAGCCCCAAAGGGCACAACCGTACCCTTTGGGTTGATGGATAGAGTTAAGGCCTAGAGAGAGTAGCAGGAGAGGCCGCGGAATAAATCTGGTCACCATAATCGAGTTCGATAAACGAGGGCTGAATGTAGGCGAAGCAGAGTTCGACGATCACTCCCCAGGAAAGATGAGCAAGGTTTTAAGAAGGTTTAGCCAGCTGTGACAAGTTGCCTTCAGAGAGGTAATGTGAGGTTCCAGGATAACCTACAGTCAAAGAGAAATTCCTAGAAACCTGACTGTATCACGTTGGGGGATACGGGAGCCATAGAGATACAAAGGATGATCGGAGATGACAGAGCATCTAGTGAAAGTAATTTGGCGAGTTTTGGTACTTGAAAATTTAAACCCATGTGTGGTGGCCCAAGTGGAAACATGGTTGACCGCATGCTGGAAGAAACTGCAATGAATGACAGCCCGCGCCTGCACAAGCAATAGTGAAGTCATCAACATAGAGTGAGGACCAAATATTGGGTGGAAGAACAGAGGCCAAATCATTTATAGCAAGGAGAAAAAGTGTTGTGCTTAGAACATCCCTGAGGGACACCTTCAGCTTGGACAAAGTCCAGGGAAAGAACATTATTGACTCAAACACGGAAATGTCTGTCAGTTAAAAAGTTCTTAAGGAAGGATGGTAGATTGCCTCGGAGGCCAAAGGGAGGGGGCCGGGGCCAAAATATTATACCTCCAAGTTGTGTCATATGCCTTCTCAAGGTCAAAAAATATGGCAATAACTGAGTGATTATTCGCAAAGGCATTACAAACATACGTATCCAAGCGTAGTAAGGGGTCTGTGGTAGAACTACCCTTACGAAAGCCATATTGACTAGCGGAGAGACTGTTGTGTGTCTCTAAATACCACATTAAACGTCGATTTATGAGACGTTATATCACTTTGCAAACTGCACTAGTAAAGCGATGGACGATAGTGGAAAGGCATCATGTTTCCCGTGGTACCCGGTTTGCGGAAAGGGAGAACAAGGCAGATTTCCCCAGCTGGGGAAGAACTCCTTGTGCCCAAATAAGATTGAAGAGGTGTAAGAGGACTACAAGGGCTGACCGATGTAAATGTTGTAACATACGAATATGAATATCGTCAGGCCCAGCTGCCGATGATCGGCAAGCTGAGAGCGTTGCCTCTAGTTCTTGAAGTGTAAAAGGCACATTATACTGTTCTTCTCTGAGAGAAGAAAAGTCCAAGGGTACTAACTCTCTGGCAGACTTTGAGAAAGAAACGAGGGGCATAGATGGAGCCCCCGGGAAAATACGGACAAGATGTGTTTCCCAAATTTTAAAAGGCAACGTCGAGAGGGTTTGCTACATCAACACCAGCGACCCGTAGAACAGGAGCCGGGGCAGGAGTACTTTTCTCCAGACTGCACTCATAGAAGAAGCAGAGGTGATGGTGGAAACATAGTCTCGCCAACAAGTGTGTTAGCTTCACGGGTGACATGGGGAGCGATCGCACGCTTCTGCTTAAAATCAAGACGTCTCTCAGCGGTTCTATTGTACCGGGACCTGCCCCATGCAGCGCGTTTCAAACGTACTGCACGAGCACAAGAAGGAGACCACCAAGGCACGCACTTCTGAGAATGCCTGTCCCGAGGTTTGGGGGATAGAATGAGAAGCTGCGGTAGAAACTGACGTCGAGAAGAGGTGTAGGAAACTCAATTTAATGGAGGATGAAGAAGGAACCTCACTAAAAGCAGTGAGGTGTGAGTCAAGATCCCAATTTGCCCGATCAATTGCCAGCGAGGGCTATGGAAAGGTGGTGAATAGGAAGGAGAAGTAAGAATGATTGGAAAATGATCGCTTCATGTAAGTCCGGTAGAACAGACCAGGAAGTCTAGTGGGAGTGGAGGGAGAGCAGACTGATAAATCGATGCAAGAGAGAGTATGAGTACAAGGATCAAATGGGTGGGAGTACCCGTATTTAAAACATGGAGGGGTGAGAGGCGAGAAAAGCCTCCAACTGAAAGCCACATGAGTCACAATGAGACCCCCCCCCGAGGAAATGGTGGGCATTAAAATCACCAAGTAACAGAAGTGGTGGTGGTAAGGATGAAACAAGAAAGGCAAAGTCTGGGATAAAATGCTCAAGAAGGAGAGAGATATAAAGAACATATTGTAAACCACTTATTCAAGTGGATACGCACTGCAGTGTAATGCAGCAAGGTATGGACAAATAGTTGACAGTACGGAATATCATTGCATAGAAGGGCACTTTCATTAAAGGTCCCATCTGAGAAAGGATCCGAAGAATCAATAAATTATAGCCTGAGATAGGTTGGAAAACAGCCGAGTGTAATTTTGGGTTTTTGTAAGCCCAAACACCAAAAGGGGAAACCTGGAAAGCAACATCTGAAGCTCACCCCGATTCACCCCTGAGGCCGCGATATTCCACTGTAAATAGGCCATGATTGGCGATGAAGAAAATACCAAGAATCCGTAGGGAAAGGCACCTACGGACTAGGGGGTTAGAAAAGTCAACGTGTGGTGGCATTGAAGATGTTCAAGCAGCGAAGGAACGAGCGTTGCGAAGAATGGGGTTGTGAAGATGGAGGAGAGGGAAGAGAAGGAACAGGAAGTGAATTTAGTGTCCAATTGAAAGGTTTAGTCTCTGCAATATATTCTGAAAAGGCTTCAAATATTTCTGAATTCAAAAAATGTATGGGAGACCA